TAAAAGTGTAATGTGTGTACTATCTTATTGTTGTGTAATTAATACTTTATAGATAAATATGATGGAAAAGCATGTTACTTCATACAAGCACTTTAACTATCCAATTTAGACATAAAACATCCAAATAATCTGAAAATGTTTACATCTTGACAGGTTGCTATACAAAGGGATCACATGACTAGTGATTGATATCGTAACAAGAAATAAAATATAAGTGCATAGGAAGAATTTCACTAAATGATTTGATAAGGGTGGTTTAAAATTAAGTTAACCAACGAAGTAAAAGGAATTATAACACTTGATCTCTTTCATTTTCTTCTCAATGATTTAAGTGAAAAGTGTCGCTTTAACAAAACTATGTGCCTTCCGACAGATTTATCAACCCACGAAGAAAAAATCGTAAAAAGTACAAAACACATTACGAATAGAGAGTTTCCAACTACATTCTACCCTTTTGGACTTTATCAAATATGATAGGTCACCAAACTCTTTGTATCTTTGATCAAACGAACTCTTAAGTGCATGCTAATCAACTACTTAATGGAATGCACGAATGAAAGTTTTAAAACAAAACATGACTAAGTGTGTTAAGTCAAAATATTCTAAATGTCTCTCAGTTATTCAACAAGCTTTGATTTTTCTTGGCTCGGTTAGGGGCAAGAACACAAAAATGGTCGAAGCTTACTAAGGTCGTGTATTTAAATATTTCATACGGATACCGTTGATTAATTATCGGAAATATGACAGAAAGAAAAACTAAAGAAATAATCTTCAAGATATGGTTTTAAAAAAGTTTCAAAAATAAATAATTTATTATAAAAGAAAAAATTCCCTTTTTTTTGCTTTCATTGTCTTGATCACGCATACAATAAAATTTAAAATTTACGGTCAACAAATATGAACACCTTTCATTTAAGGATTTCACATATCTACGTAAACAAAAGATCTTCTTTTTTTCTTGCATTATCTTGATGAGGGTTTGTGATTGGATTAGAGGATTTTGAAGAGATTTTAGAGGATTAATTAAGTAATTATGAGTAGCAAATACCAAAAAAGTAGTATAGAAAGAAGAGGAATGAAAATGAAAAGAAAAGATCTTGAAGGGTGCTAAAGTCAAGATTCTCAAACCAAGAAATCAAGATTTGGGCTTAGCATTACCCTTTAGGATGGGGACCCTTCAACGGAGAAGAAGATTGTTTTATATATAACACAAATTTCTTCCCATATCTATCATGCCCAATAATGCTTGTTCCCTAACCCTTTTAGGTTTCCTACTCACATCCCCAAACATTCTTTTCACACTCACAAAATGATGTTTTTCTATTTGTATTTCTTTTAATTTTCCCTGTTAATGAATATTAAAAATAACGTATAACAAAATTAAAATGCAATAACTTATTCAAGTTTAGAAACTTGACTGTGTAAAAACGTTCTTAAATCAAACTGTAAATTATTTAGCCAGTTGTGTATAACTGTATATGACTGAACTTTTCAGTTTCCACAAAACTAAAAAGCTGAAAAGTGAAATTTGCACTGAACAGAAAGCATAATATATATGTAAAAGTTATGAGATGAAAACATAAGAACAATATGAAAAAGACAATTAAATGTATTGACAAATAAGATCTTCTAAATATGCACCTAATCTTGAAAGTTATGATGTCTTTCTTTTTGTAATATATATATATATATATATATATATATATATATATATATATATATATATATATATATATAGGGAGGAGATCGGTTCACAACTCAAAGTTTCCCGATAACCCGAGAACTAAAAGTGGAGCGTTAGATCAAAACTAATTCATTAAGGGCATGATCGTAATGATACCAATCTCATTTAATGTTTAATTTTTGTGTTATTGGAAATATTAATAGAAATGTCTAAAAAATTACATAATAAATCAAATTTTCGGATTTTTGTAAAAATGGTATTTTTCTATTTTTTTTTAAAGTACAGATTTTTTAATTTTTTATAAAAAATATGAATTTTTGAAAAAAAAATATATTTTTTTAAAAAACTACAATTTTTTTTAAAAGCATTTAAAAATCAATAAAATTAAAAAAAAATGGATTATTTAAAAAAATATTATAACTTTTTAACCAAAAAAAATCATATTTTAGGTACATATATGCATATTTTTACAAATGCATATATGCATATTTCATATACTATAATATTTGTAAGGAAATCATAAGAAAACTCATTTTATTTACTAATCTATAAACACAATAGAATAAGTATTTTATTCGATACAAAATAAAATATAAAAAACAAAAAATGTACAAAATTTCAAAGCGTTTTCATGTCTTCGTGCCAATATTTCCATATTTTCTTCAATTTATCATTTTTCACATCTTCAATATTCACCATAATTTCTTCCAAATCTATAAGAAAATTAAAAAAAAAAAATTGATTGATGCAAAAACACTCACAAAAATACATATGTGATTAACATATGAATCACAGACGATTCACATATGAATTACATGTGATTCATATGTGAATTACATGTGATTTACATGTGAATCACATGTAATTCATATGTAAATTACATGTGAATCACATGTAATTCATATGTGAATTAGATGTGATTTACATGTGAATCACCTGTAATTCATATGTGAATTAGATGTGATTTACATGTGAATCGCATGTAATTCATATGTGATTTACATGTGAATCACATGTAATTCATATGTGAATTACATATGATTCATATGTAAATTACATATGAATCACATGTAATACATATGTGAATTACATGTGAATCACATGTAATTACAACGTTGAACTTTTTATAAATTTTGCTAAGTAAAAAAGAAACAACCATAGTTGTCCACATTTAAGTGTTGAACTCATTAAACTCATTAAGTAATAAAGAAAACTGTCCATGAACTCATTATAGCAATATTATAGACTTTTCATTTCACGTGTTATTAGCTTTTCTGCTCAATTCCTTCTACAGAATATATTTTATTCCTTGCATTTTGCCAAAAAAAAATGAGTATGTGGGATTTGTGGGTGCCATCTATATTTTCTCCACATTTGCAAATTTTATGAGCTCCAAATTCTCTAGCAATATTTTACACTTTTCACTGGTTTTTAGCTTTTCTTCTCAAATCCTTTTTATAGAATTGACTTCTCTAATCATTCTTGCAAAAAAAGCACTATTTTAGTGGGATTAATGGAGCAACTTAACTATTTAAACTATATATTGGTATTTCTTTTTGACTTAATACAGAAATAATGACTTGATAGAAAAAGCCAGCCATTAAGTCCTAAGTTTTTAATATGTGCCCTCATTTCTTCAGACAACACAAGAAAAAAAACATAGCCTTAGTTTAGAGAAGTTAAGAGCAGAAGTTATAAAGTAAACTAACTATAAAGTTGTTAGTTAAAACAAGAGTAAAAGATTTGAAATGAAAAACTATAATTATAACAAGAACATAAAGGGTTCTAAGCACATACTTATTGATAACTAGTTTGCAAGTTTTTCATTGTCCAAAATCAGCAGAAGTTTCCAACTTTAACACTTGTGGAGCAGAAAAAACTGTCAAAGTAAATCCTGATTTCTGAAAAGAAATTGATACAACAAGGTTGATGTTACATTATTATCCCTGTTCAAACACAAATACAAGCACAAAGGCTGCATTTATCACACAAAACAAGACTAAATAAGCTTTCTTGTTTTACTTTCAATGATGATGATGAGAAGGGCATTCACGTCTTTTGCACAAAGATGATATTAAGAGTAAAAACTAGTACCGATTTTACGTTCTTCCGAACTTCACAATTGAATAGAGCAAAGATTGTGCCAATTTCTTCTTTACTGTTCTTTTGATAGGTATTTCCAAACAAGAAAAGGGAAGCAGTTTTTTCATCTAAGCATCCAATAGTCCATATGATGTAGGGTTTCCCTATAGAACAAGTCCTTATTTCCCCCTTCTCACATAAAACTCCAATAGTAGCCCAGCATCCAGAAAGAGTGTCTCCTGATAAAAGATTCCTAAAATAGTACAAAAGTTATCAAATGAACTTAATAATCAGAGTAATGAAGAAAAAAGTAGAGGTTTATGATGTTTACTTTATCGCTGTTAAACGAACAAATCGAATATCAGCTAATCGATCACTCAATTCTGTTCGAGAAACCAACTGATTCCTGAAAATAAAGGGGATATAAGAAAAACTTAGGGTATGATTGTGTGTATGTAACTTTATATATACATAATACATGTTCTGTGTTTGAAATTATAAATGAAGTCACCTACTGGATTCTCAAACCAGAAAAGTTTTCAACATCAACATCACTTGACCTCTTTCCATGGCTATATTTGAGTGGTTTCTTGGAGGGTTCAGGCTCATAATCTAGACAATCCTCAACAGCAGTTCTGAAAACAGACATGCCTGCATGTCCCCTCTGTCTTGCAGATCCATCATCAGATAGATATCCTGTATTCATATAGATATTGAGGGAGATCCAGGTAAATTTTTATAAAATGAACAGATTTATTATAAGCTTAAAGGTTAGGAACTTCATGGAAATTAAGAAAAGTTACAGTGTAGTTACAAAGAAATTGTGAGAACCCTTTCAATGTTCTATAAGTTTAATCAATCGGATAAAAGTTAAAGTGTTTGCATTGCCCTAATTGGATATGGGGATGGTGAAACAATAGATTATGTGCAATTAAAAGTTCACTGACCTAAATTGAACAATCAAACAACCAAACACACAGATTAGGGCTTACGAGATAGGTATCCTCGTCCGAATTTGATCAAATCTAAAAGATCGCATCTGCAGGGACCGCCATTAACGGCCGTCAAAAACCTGATCTGTGAGATTTTGTGAGGGCGTTAGAGATTTGTTGACTCTTCGATTTGTAGCCAACAATCTAGAGAACGATGAGTCGATGGCCGGAGGTGGCATGGATTCCGGACGGTGGTGCTTTTGGGGGAAACGAATCGACAACGGGAGAAGGTGAGTAATCATCGGTGATATGCAATTGCGAAATTGGTTTTGGAGAAATGAATAGATTCGACATACTTTAATGCCAATAACACCCCTGGATCCAAAAATCTACGTACCCCCGCGTCTTTTTTTTACCACTTATTTACAGAACTGCCATAAGAAATCTAAGCCCTCTATTTTTTTGATCTAAAGGTCTAAAATTAGTTCTCGGGTTCTCGGGAAACTATAGGTTCTCAAATGATCCTCCCTATATATATATATATATATATATATATATATATATATATATATATATATATATATATAAGGCTAGGTTCATGTGTTTCTTACATTTACTGTGTGCTATAATGCACCAATAGAAATTTAGTAATTTAAATAATTATTTAATTAAATAAAGATATATATTAAATGATTTCCATAACTATATTTATATTGAATGATATCTATAATTATAATTCTCTTGTTTATGGAAACTAATTAAATTTTTCATTAATGTCAGCAACAACATTCTTTCAGAATGAATTCGCATCTAGGTTTTCATGTATGAGTTCATGTTTTGTTTATGGACTCACTCACTTAAAATACATCAAAGTTGCATGGAATATGAAGAACAATAGTGTATTCTACTAGAATACACTCTCATTCTGTTAGAATATACTCTCATTCTTCTAGAAAATAAATGTTCATTCTAGTAGAATACACTCTCGTTCTCCATGTGTAGGCAACTTTGTTGTATTTTGAAGGAGTGAGTCACGAAACAAAATACGAACCCATAAATGAAAAACTAGATGCGAATTAATTCTGAAAGAATATTATTGCTGATATTAAAGAAGGATTTTAACTAGTTTCCATAAAAAAAGAATTATAATTATGGATATCATTTAATATACATATAATTATGGAAATCATTTAATATCTATCTTTATTTGATTAAATAATAATTTAATTTTTACTAAATTCTCTCTCTCTCTCTCTCTCTCTCTCTCTCTCTATATATATATATATATATATATATATATATATAAGTTCAATAGAGAACCATTATTAATAGTTCTCCAATGAACCAAATATTTTTTTTCAGATTTTAGAGCTTATTCTTTATTCGAAAAAAAAAATATATCTAAATTCATAAACTCACATTATGAATACTAATATATTTTTCGAATTTACCGTGTGAATTCAGATTCACATTGTGAATATGCACAGATTCACATTCTGAATTTGACGAAAAAAAGTAAATTTTTTATCGAATTTGATATCATTGGAAAATATATAAAAATGTATGAATTTATGTATTTTTAGTTTTTTTATTGATAAATAATAAACTCTAAAAGTTAAATAAAAAATTGGTTCCTTGGTTCCATAGTTAATAATGGTTCTCTATTGAATCTAATCTTCTCTCTTCTTTCTCTCTCTCTCTATCTCTTTCTCTTTCTCTCTCTCTTTATATATATATATATATATATATATATATATATATATATATATATATATATATGGGATGTTTCAAATAAAGACACTAAATAAAGTGAAGACATTGAGTCACTATTTTTATGTTATTATTCTACTATTAATTTTGTATATGTGTATTATTGTAATAATTCTAATGTGGATATTAATGTATAAGTATTCATATATTCCTTATGGAATAAAAATTCATAGCGGAATAATATTATAATAGTAGTGTCTTCACGTATTTCTCTTATTTAATGTTTCCATTTGATCATATATATATATATATATATATATATATATATATATATATATATATATATATATATATATATATATATATATATATGTATATATATATATACACACACACACACATATAGAGAGAGAGAGAAAAAGGAGAGATATGAAAGTTCAAGTAAGAATAAAAAAAGTTTAGATCACAATAATAAATTTAGGCCACATATTTCATCATTTGACACTTAAACGCACCAACGTACTAGCACAACGGGAGATGTAATATTCGAAATTGAATATAAAATTAAGTATATTAATATATGAATATTGTGTGGTATATTCACTTATGATTATTTATATATAATTTATTCATATATTTTCTATTCACAAGTGATTATTTGTATATATTTATGGTGGTTGGTGGTGGTTGAAGTGGAGGTGGTCGAAATAAAGGAGGTGGCGACGACGATTGTGGAGGGTTGGGAGGTGGTGGTGGGGTGGGGAAGAGGTAATGGTGTTGCATATTTATATATGAGCTCGTACCGCCGGTACACCGGAGCATTTAAGTGACAACGAAAAAATATGTAGGCTAGATTCATTCTCATGTTCTTAACTTTTTTTTCTTTCTTAGATGAACTTAGTCTCTCTCTCTCTATATATATATATATATATATATATATATATATATATATATATTAAGAGAGAGAGAGAGAGAGAGTTATGTTTATATGTTGATGAATATCTATTATCGTGTGGACGTAAGAACCAATTAGAATTTAGAGAAAAAAAATCATTAATTAACCAATAAAAGGTAGTTTAGTCATTATATATAAAATTGATTTATCTTCCTAATTATAATCGCTAAAATAATGGACCAGTTTCCTTAAATACCACGTGCATCTCAATAAACTTGCCTTGTGCATGTTCATTAACTCTGTTCCATAATCATTTGAGAAATTTCTCATCACCAGAGTAACACCATCGTCATCACCATTATGTAGTAGAAACCGATAGTGTAACGAGCTTGAAGTTATTCCGTTAACGCTGTTAGTTTTCCGTTACTCGAATATTAATTCTTGTAAATTTATTTGATTATTGGAGTATAGAATGAAACGAATTAATAAGAGGGGTTTAATTAATACCTAGAAGAATGGGACCATAACGTGGCAATGAGGCAGTCACGATCCAAATTCTGCACCAGCAGGAACCACGACGTGGTGGAGGACCAACCACGTCATGGCGATGAGGCAAAACAACCCGGAAGTCGTTTTATCAAGCATAAACACATTCGATTTTAACAAGGAAAATTTCTAGACTATTTGAAATGATTTAAACACATAAATCCTACATATACAAACCCTAACATACAATCAAAGACAAAGTATAAATGCAATGGACTTAAGTTAACCAGACGCTCTGATACTACTGATGGGTTACGAGCCTAGTCAAAAGACCAAATCAAGACAGCGGAAACAACAATTTTTCTGATCTATAGACTCATAATGGCCAGGTTTCACTCAAACAATCTTTGCAACTTACAGACATAATAAAACAAATAATACCTTCGAGTTTTTCTTTGACTTCTTTAGTCTAGCCAGTTGATCGAACTTAAGAGCCTAATGTAGAGTTCCTATCTTGTGATCGCACCCAAGACGCAAAACACCAACAGATCTGAAAGCTAGTAGCAATGAGACCTGAATAATCGAATCTGGCAGTGAACACAGTGTGGCAAACATCTTACAATGACGTGGCGATGGGCTTCGGGTATTCTAGGATTTTTCCTTAGGGCTCTGAACTTTGGAGGTAGGAGGGTAATTTCCCATGCGTCCAAACCGAGTTTTGACCCCTATATATAGGGAGGTGTCTGGAAACCCTAAATATAATTACCAAATATATTTGTAATTATCTAAGCTTTTAGTAATTATCCATGAATTAAATGATTCTAGAATATTCCAAATTCCTATTGTTTTCTAATTAATTAATTAAGCTATTAATTAATTAACAAAACATGTCCCTAAAATAAATATATTTTCAGTTCTGTTTTATTTTGCTCTCACATGTAACCCAAAATGACATTGTTATTTATAGCAGTATTACTAGTTTGTTGTGGTTATGGGCACTAATCACCATTAAGTCCTATTAAGCTGCATTTGCGGCTTACCCTACCAAGCCGGAAGAATAAAGCCTCCCTATAGTTCATATCCTCGTAATCTTGAAACTTGAATGTGATAATAAATTTTACACATAGCTCCTTGTGCACGGGCTCGATGATCTGGAAAAACCTAAGCCATCTAATGTTTGTGAAGCGAAACCTCTAACCCATGTACACCTTTGTCAAATATAGGGTGACCTGCTCGAATAATTTGGTAAGCACAATCCAATCCCTATCCACAAATGGGGGTATGTGGATTTCCCTCTTATACAGCCATCTTAACCGGTTATTGTATCGGGTAAGTCTACCGGCTTCAATGTTTTGAAAAAAGTGACAAAATTCGTGAAGTGGGGGCGCATCAGGGTCCTCTTGAGGACCTTGGGGATGAGGTTGTTAAACTAGCATATTTGGGGTGCCATTAAACCTTTGTTTTTTATTACGTAAGAAAAACTGAAGAAATTGAAGGATTTGCAGCGATTTTTCGAAGAAAAGGGGAGAGCATGTCGTGGAGGCGGAGAGAGGTTAAAGTAAAAAAAAGTGAAAACGGAAGTTAAGGTTTAGAAAACTTTGGTGTGGGAATGATAGTTACCACGTCGTGGAGGCTTTTACTGCACATCAGCTTACGCGCTCAATACAAGCGCCACGACGTGGCTAATGGTGCACCACATTATGGTTGTCGAGGAATTTATGTCCCAAAATTTTAATCAAAATTCAAGATGGACCATACCCCACACTTGTTGGTTGTTTTCCCTCACTGGAACGAACTTCAGAAAAAATCAAACAATCGAAAAACCACTAAAATCGAATAAATGAAAAAGAACTAAAAATAAAAACGAATAAGAAAATGAAAGCGATAAAACAAACCACGGGTTGCCTCCCAGAAATGCTTCTTTTTAACTGGACTCTTTTCAGTCCACGTTGTTGTGGCTATCCCAAGGATCACCTCCTCCCATTTATTGTCCTTTTTCAATACCCATTCTTCATAGTGTTTGACTCAAAGCCTATTAACCTTAAACGTTGTTCCGTCTTCTTTTATCAACTCAACCTCTCCATGAAGGAATGCCTCTTTTACTACAAATGGCCCATAGAACCGGGTCTTCAATTTTCCTAGAAAAAGTTTCATCATTGAATTGAAAAGTAGGACTTTTTGACTCGCTTCGAACACTTTGTTTCCTCTCAA